GTGCCTGTTCTGTGTCACTTGCTGCCTGCATAAAACCAGCAAAATGCACATTGCTTCTGTGACTTAGTGCTGATTTCAGAAAACTGAGCTCAAAATTTTTAATCCCCTTCTGAAAGATGATCCTATAGTCAGGAATAATGTTTCGCTTTTCTGTGCAGTTGCGTCAGTTTTACTATTCAGCCAAAGCATTTGATGTCCTGGAGAGACTGGACAGCAATCCTGAATACTGGGAAGGCAAGAGAGGTGCTTGCGTGGGTGTCTTTCAAATGATCTTAGCTGGCCAAGAAGCAAAGTGAGTGTTCTGTGTTGTATCTGAATTTGTTTTGCTCTTTGCTTATTTCCAGTCAGCTCTAAGCCAGAATCATAACCTTAACTTTGGTCTACGTATCCCCTTCCAATTCTTTATTGACCTTTCAGAAAACAGACACTCTGGCAAGTGGTTCCACATGCAATGTTCAATTTTAAGCATATCTTCCACACCAACAGTTCTAGAATATATCGTGGAGAATAACTCATCAGCGAATGCCATGAACTGCAGGAAACCAAAATACATTAGTCATAATACTAGGAAGAGTTAAGTTATAAAGGTACTATATTCATGAACTGAGGGAAAAGAACCTCATTTACATTGATGGCATAAGAATGGAAGACTATCCCATGATATTTTAAGAATCACAGAGCAGAACTAAGAAAACATTTACTCAGTGCTGCTGGAAGGGCACAATTTGCCTAAACAATGAGTAGATGCAACTGTGTTTTCACTAAAGTTTGCTTTCTGAAGACACTGTCCATATCATATAAATATACTCACTTGAAAGCTTAAGGGAAATTATCTGTGTTACTGATAATTTTGCTTTCAGTCCATTTCACTGGATGGGAGAATGAGACAGAGTAGTGGGGCTATATTTAAGAACTGATCCTTCATGAATATTCTGCCGCAATGCCAGATGGCCATTCTCCCCTGGCCAAAGTTACTGTTTCATACGTGACTGGTAGGTGTGTATCTTGGCTTCTACACCTTCCTTGTATTCCTTTCTCTACTGGAGTAATGACATTAACTGCTGCACCCTTCAAGTGCCCTTTTAGCAATTACTGCAGTAGATGCAGTAAAATACACATAGGTTGCCTATTTTTCAGTGTGCATACAAGCTCTTGCACTAAACTAGCTGGCAAACTGGAGCTTCATACTGGTTTATCATATTGGTAATGTTCATTTCCATGTTATTTGTACTTATGCATAAGGTGCTTTGGCACCATTAAGCTAGATGTTGCCATACTGAAGACCAGCAAGTAGCATTAAATTCAAAACCAAAAAAAGTTTGCTTTGTCCTGGGAAGCTCTTTTGTAAGAGCAAGGATTTATATACAAATACACACATGTGCGAACACTAAACTCCAACCTAATTACATTTTGCTGACTTTTTTGTTTTTAATTTCTCATTGCAATGGAATACAAGGCGGGGGGGGGGGGGGGGGGGGGGAGGGTGCACGGGGGGGGGGGGGGGGGGGGTTGTTGTTGTTGGTTTTTTGTTCCCTGGGATCTCATCGACTGTACATTTTTACCTCTAATTCTCTGCAGGTGAATGGACCCCTTTCTCTGTCTAGGAACCATGCTTTGCGAAGTAGTTTGGATATGGGTAGTTGTTTATTGTATAAATTGGGGTTTACCCTCATTTAAATCTTTGCTTTTCACCTTTATAGAGAGACTCTACGGGAAGTACTGCATCTTCTGAAGAGCACTGGCAATTCTCAAGTAGAATACATTGTCCGCATCATGAAAAAGTGGGCCAAGGAGAACAGAGTCCCTGTTTAAGTCAGCGCCGCAGAATGAACTGGGTCAGTTACTATTGTGTGTGTGGCTTCAAGACGTGGGTCCTGGTTTCTCCTGTGCATTCTGGGTATCTCCTTCCTTGCAGAACTTCAGACGATCAAGCAGATTGACCCAGCTGAGCAACAGCAAAGTGGCGTGAGATTACAAACCATCCAGCAAGTTTGGGTTTGGGTTTTTTTTTTGGTTGGTTGGTTGGTAGTATGTTTCTTAAACTTTTATTGGTACTTTTTCTGTTGCATCCCTCTCTATTCCTCATTCAAAGTTTCAGTTTTTTAGTAGAAATTCCAACTGTCCATAACTCAAAGTGCTCCTCAGATGTTCCTCAGATTTCTCCACACAAGTCACTGGACTGCTTTGTGGGCTTTTTTTCCAGCAAGCCTTCCAGCCTCTGGAGGAGAATCATTTGTTAAATGACTGAGACAACCTATCCAGCAAGTGATGGAATGTGGCATGTAGAGAGGACAGCAGTGACTACCAAAAGCCAGTACTAGGGTATCAGATAATACATAAACATTTCTGTATGTTATCTGTCTGGAGTAAAATACAAACCATATTCTGAGCACTGCCCTTTTCTGAATAAATCTCAATAACTGATACCTTCATTTCTTTGACTGACTGTATTGTTCAATCTTGCTTTGAGGTTTGACACTCAAAACACTTATTCATGTTAATACAATTCATGTGAGTGATCCATTTAGTTTAGCGATCTGCTGGATAAAAGAGCTGGATGTTTTGAATCATTTTCTTCAGCATTTACCACCCTCGTTAGCAATAAGTTTATGATACTTTGGGATTTATTGTACTCTCCTGTTCTTTAAGGAGAACAGTTCAGGGGATACGTAATTTTAGGAGAAGGCATCAGTTGTAACATAGAAATGTATTTTTGAAGTGTAAAACATTTGTACATTGTTTGTAAAAGGAAAATTTACATTTTGTAGATTTGTAAAATACTGACGAAGTATTTTTTTATCTTTTTAGGAGAAACTCAGAATACTGTATTCCCAACTGGCTGTGCTTTGATTAAAGCTCTGAACTGAATGTACATTTGAATGTCTTGTTGGTCTTTGAATTTTGCTGTGGAAGAGGGTAGATTTGTGACTTGTCGTTAAATGCATGTTCATTAATCAGTCTAAGGTAAGCCAGTGGCCTTGGTCCTGATTTTATGGTAGTTTGCTGAAAATAAGGAGGCTGAGTGTATGTGGAACATTCACATATTTCTGCCATATAACATTGGCTCTTTTTTGCTTTAAGCAAAAACTGTGGGTATCATCATTCAGGTATCTGGAAGTACATGGATAGTTGTGGCTACTTGCATTTACATCTAGAAAACTGATCCATCATACTAACAACAGTAATAGAGTCTTTCAGCATGGGCAGAGGACACATTGCAGTCATTCAAAAGAGGTGTGAAAGGAGCAGTATTTTCACTGAAAGCAGGTATAAAACACTTTTCACTCATAAAAGGCATTTTTCTTTTCCCTGATGCTTTAATTAACTTGGAAACAGATCGGGAATACAATTATGAGTCTTGGTACAAAGCTTCAAAAAATCATGTTGGTGGCTTGGTAGCAGATGTTAAATGCATGTAATTACTCCCTTTATTGAAGCTTAACCTGCAGAAGAGCTGAAGAGCATCCAAGTCTGATGCAGACCATTTTACATGTTGGTTGAATCTTCTGAAGTAAGTGTGATGGCACTGCAGCGTAAGGGCCTGGGGACTAACTTTAAATTCTCTGTCCATGGCCAATGAAGAAGGTTTTTAAAATATCACCTTTATTCACTAGAGTCACAAAATCCTATTTGATGTGCTAAATAATGTGGGGTTTAGCAGAGTACATTTTATTGACTAGTAATAAAGCTTTTGTCATTTAAGACATAAAGAACAGGGGACTGCAGGGCTTTGCCTTCAGCAGTGGTGAAATAAAAGATACATATTTAGGATCGTGGTAGTGGAATGGATATGTAGGTACTATTAAAATGCACAACAAGGAAAGTGCTGAAATATTGGTGTTTATTTTACCTTAGAAATACTTTCTAAGAATATCTTCTGTTGTTTAATCTGAGATCACATTCAAGAGAGGTGTGAACTGGAGTTGCCTTAGGTGATACAGAAAGGGAAGTTAATCAAGAATTTCTAAAGCTGTTTCTCAGGCAGACTTAACAGAATGTTATCACTGTCCATTTGCATATTTCCCTGAACTGTGGAAATTTAAGGAGTCAAGGGACTCTAGATAGGGCAGCTAGGAGTGAAGGTAGATGTGGAGATAAAACAACAACAAAAGTGATCTATACAGAACAAGCAGGCAGTGAGGAATGCATGTGCAGAGTCAGGGAAACAGATGAGTTTATTGGGTCGGGAATAAGTGAATAAAAAATTGAAAGAGCAGAGACTAGGGCAGAAAGAAATTGCTGCATCATTAGAATGTCAAGGCAGAGTATGGGAAATACAATTAGTTCTTATACTCCAAGTAAGCATCTGAGGCACTGTGCTAGCAATCGAATCATTGACAGTGACTGGTAGAGAAAGCTGAAGCCCAAACAGTGTGCAAGTGCTTTTAGTTGGGTGCTGACCTGTTCCTGATAAAGAAGATGATCTTTAATTAAACTCTGTAATACCTGAATAATATTTATGTCAGTAACATCTAAGTGAATTACTCTGCAGGAGAGGACGTTTATCCTGTCTGTTGCTGCAACTGAGTTCCAGGATGACATCTGCTTTGGCCAGCATCTGAACTGATCCAATATAGCATCTTGGATTAATTCTGGAATCCAGCATATAAATTCTAAGCCCAGTAACAGGTGGAGCCAAGTAATGTACTCAGCTGGAGGTGGCAAGTTCATTGGGAAGGAAAAGTCATGTCACATTCCAGCTCTGTGGACTGCAGCAGGCATTTACATTTACGTGGTTCCCTCAGCTGGAAGATTGTTCATTGATCTTCATAAGAAAATTGTCTAAGGTTGAATGAGGAACTTGGCCATTAGCTAGCAAGACACAGATTAGACAATTACATATATAGCTGTTGCTACATGTAGCTTCACTATATGGGAGCTATACACACGCTGAGGAACACATCAGAGTTTTGCCCCTTGGTTTACTCTTGCACCACATTTTCCCTGTATTATCTCCAGAAGTAATTTCCAGTCACTCTTGAGTTTCATTTCCAGACTTCCCTCTCCCCATTTAATCTATTCATATGATCACTGATTAATTGCATGAAAGTGTCACCAGTAACCACCAAAATCAGGTTATTAATCAACTATTGGATAATCTGGCCTGACCCTATGTAGATTTCATTGGCTTTGTGTTGAGTCCAGTAACTACCTTGGCTTTCCATAAAAATACTTGCCAGAAAACTGTAGGTGGATAGTGAGAAAACTTGTTAAAACATCAAATTACTTTGCATTTGTTCAAATTATCAAATTGCCTTTGCTCTTAATTCTAAATTCAGCTTGTTTGGCCTTGTCTTCTAATATTTGAGTCTTCCAACATCCATCTTTGCTGTCAGTCATTAAAGCCCAGCATTCTCTGGTTTGATTTGGGGTTTTGGTGGTTTGGTCGGGGTTTTCTTTTTCATCTTTTGGTACACATAAACTGCAAGCACCTCGCCTCAGTCTGTATGGAAGACAGCATCCCTTCCAGGGTGGAAAACTGGCAATCACTTTGTCAACAGAAAAACATGGTTGTGTAGCACTGGGCATATTTATCACCATGTGTGATGTTGGAATATGCTCTTCCATACTGCTGCTTGCTGTTCTCCTACATGTATACTCAAAAGACTGCATTCATCCTTTTTGTCATATTATCACAGGGGGAGCTTGCATTAAATTGCTTCTTGACTGTGACATGACATCTAGGTTTTCTCCAGAGCTGGCGTTTTCCAGGATACAGTCTACCTTACAGAAGACACAGCCTACCTTTAGCTCTAAAATATAGATTTTGTTTGAATGGTGTCAGTTTTTCACCTTATGCAGCTCACTCTGAGTGACTGTCTTATCATCACTAACTACTAGTCTGTTTCTCTGCAGTCTTTTATTAGTGCTGGTTTACATCTATATCTGGATCATCAAGGGATATGTTGGATCCTTCATCCTTCCAGGACCCTACTAAAGTAAACCCCTAAACCATTCTAATAATGATGGCTAATGGCTACTTCTCATCATTTGTCATTCTTAACTTACTTAACATGTACTTTATGGATACTGTATTACGCTATTTCCTTAAATTAGGTATGTGACATCAGAAATGTATGTAATTGCATCTGTATAACTACAATATTGTATTGAGCTAAACTTACAAAAGATCCATGTCATGGGAGCTAATTCATTCTTTATTAGATAAACCTTACAGCATCACAGAAAGCTTGATGGAGTACAGTTGTTTAAGGCTGCTTGCAGAATTTGAGAGAACTCTTTCTTTGCCCTGTAAGCACATTTAGAAGCCACAAACCAAAAGCTTACTTTTGACTTTGTAGAGCTTAAACATAAAGCAGGAATTTCACATCTCTAGGCAAGGGATAGTTCCTAAATTCTTCATAAGTCTCGCTTAATTGATGAATTACTCTAGCATCTATTTATAGATTTAAAAATAAAAATCTGTATTTAGTCAGCGCTGTGACTTTTGAGAAGACATTGTGTGTTCTTCAAATAAAAAAGAAACTTTTGTTCAGTTCATACTTACATATTTTATCATGCTTAATGGCTCCACATATTATCCTCAGTAATTCTTTAAGAGAATTTAATACAATGAATGCAGTAAAATGAGTAATGGTCTTTAAAATGTTTTTACAAGTAGATATTGAAGAACCTGGAGTTTAAGTTATTTTAACAGGAAATACGCTATGAGATAGTTTGTACCAGTTCTCAGATACAGCCAAATGGAACGAAAAGCGGGATGCTACTTATGCTGTTGTCTCTGAATTGCACTTTCATAGACCTAGGAACTGCATTGCTTTTTTTGGAGTCCTCAAACTGCACTTTAAGCTGGCCCTGAACTGTCAATGAGTGATGAGCCTGAGACTCCACCATCTGTTCCTTGATCGCTGTATGCAACTTCCATGTGGTCAGTCCTGTGAAAAAACGCAAACAATGCAGAATTATATCATATACTACACTATATTTTAAGAATACATATAATAATGTTGAGATGGTTTCTGTCACATAGATAAGAACCATGCTTCAGTTCTAACGGTTACATTGTGCATTGTAACAG